AAAAACTTAAAAAAAAAAAAAAAACTAATGGAATTTCTAGTTAAATAAAAAAGTACATATACAGCTGAGTTGCCTTGTAAATTTTGAGAGTATGCTATCTTTTCTGAATCAAAAGACCAAAGGACAATGAGGAGTTATTGCTAATGATGTGGGAGTTCTTTAGGGAGACAGAAATGCTCTAAAATTAGATGGGGATGATGATCACACTACTCTGCTCTGTGAAGACACTAAACAAACATGGAGGACAACTATGTGCCTCACTGCCTGATCCATAAGATAATAATAATGCTGTCTAATAATACTGTAAGTGAATGGACCATATGGCATGGGACTATTTCAATAAAGCCGTTTAAAAGTGGGGGGAAGAACCCACAGAACCACTTATTTCAGTGAAATCTAGGGTCTCTAGATGGGGGTGGGGGAAATTAAAACAACAGCCACCTCAACTGTGGGGCACTCCAGAGAACACAATATGTGCAAGAATCAGGAAGTAAAGAAAACAGAAAACACCAGCTTTCCTCATGTCACGTATTTTTATGACACAACACTGCAATTTAATTTTTAACATTACCTATAACACTCCATGTTCATCACATTGGCAAAAAGTAGAAAGCAAGATATTGCCAAGTGTTGGCAGAAATGCAGAAATACAAGACAATCCTAACACACTGAGGGTGAGGGCTTAGAATAGGACAGTCATTCTGGAAAGGAACTTGGCAGCACTTAGACAAGGTCTGTTGTTGTGTGCTGTCTAGTTGGTTCCGACTCTTAGTAACCCTGTATAGGGTTTCCAAGGAACGGCTTGTGAGTTTGAACCACAGACCTAATTCAAACTGACCTTGAGGTCGAGTACTTATCCTACGGTGCAACCACTTTTGAGTCTATTAGGGGTTTCCCAGTTTACTTAAAATGTCTAATCTCACTTGAACCATCACATACAAGAGTAATCATCATAAAGTCTGGGGTAGTAAGGAGCTTGGAGCATCATCACTATAAGCGACAAACAGTAAAATCCAGGGTCACTATGAAGCCATAGTGTGCAGAATACAGTGCAGAAGCAGTCAGATGGAAAGGATTAGGCATACATAGGAATCAAGGATGGATCTTTCAAACACAGTGATAAGTAAAGAAAGGTTAAAAAAAAAGTCTTATGTAAGGAGCCATGGTAGCGTAATTGGTTACATGTTGGACTGTTAACCTCCAGGTCAGCAGTTCGAATCCACAAGCCACTCCATTGGAGAACGATGAGGTTTTCTGCTCCTATAAAGAATTATGGCCTTGGAAACCCTAGACAGACAAGTTGTTGTGAGTTGGAACTGGCTTGATGTCATTCACTAGCAGCAGCAGCATGCAAGCAAAAACTATAAACATGCAAACACTATGCCAACAAGTGAAAGGATATACATCCAGCATTTCAAAATAATTGCCTGTGAAGTTAAGAAGTAGGAAAGGGGAATGCACAGAGACAAAAAAGGGGAGCAAATAAATAAAAGCATGGAACAAGAGCTCGGAATGGTCTGGTTACATAAACCACCAGCTCCAGGGAACAGAGGGGACGGACAAGGGCAGTGGGTGTAGAGATCACCTCCAGTTCTTCAATAGTGGTGTTTTCTTCATGAACTTTCAAATCATTCTGTGTGTCTTCCTCTCCAGGTTCTTGACCACCTACAATTTCATTGAGGTACTGCTGATCAATCTTATCCAAAGCTGCTTTCAAATCATTCCTCAATCCCTAAGAGAAGTGAAAAAGTAAGTACACTTTGTATGAATCTTCACTAATGTTCTTTGATTTTTCATTAATACAAAATACAATTCATTTTATTTCTCAGCAGGGATTAAAGAGTTTAGTAAAATTAGTCGTCAAATAAGATTTCAACTTACTATAAATTATATAGTTATCTTCATTGCCGATTGCAATGGCTAGTCTGGTAGTCATTAAAAGAGACATGAATAACAAATCAGAATAAGAATATTCAGAAACGCTGCAAGCTTCTGTTGAAGCCAAGTCAAAGTGACCAGGTCCCCGTTAAAGTCCCCAACCCATTTCTCTAGTTCACTTAAAATGTCTAATCACACTGTAACTATTCTCAGGTCCCAAAACATTCAGATATGTCAATGAAAAACAAGTGGAGTCTAATCTACACACAGGCTCCCAACTATGCTTCTAACTAATTTCTAAACATGAATGAATATTGGCTGTGAGAATCTTAACAACCAGGGGACTCTGGTCGTGAGACTGCTGTAATGTAGTGGCTGAGATTATGTGGGTCCAAATCCTTACCAGCACTAGCTCTTGGACAACCACATGCCTCACCTCCTGATCCATAAGATAATAATAATACTGTCTAATATGCAACCTTTTAACGAATACTATGTAATTTATCTAGTACTTACTGCATGAGCTGGGACTGTTGCAGAGCTTTACAAATAGTAGCTCATTTAAATGAGTTAACACATGAATCCTGCATTTCGAGTAGTCGCTGTCATACAGTCACTAGCACATAGCAAGCATTCAACAAATGTTAATTCTTATTGCTATTCTATGAGACATACCAGATTCTAGTCTACTGTCTTTTCATAAACACAGAAAAAAACAAACAACTCAAAAGACAGAACTTAGCAAACATTTACCCAGTACCTGCTATATGTGAGCATGAAGTACACTGCTAAGTATTCCCAAAGGTTATCTCGTTTAATGCTCATAACATCCCAGTGAGTCACATATCATTGTCTCTGTTTTACAAGTGAGGAACTTAAGGTTCAGAAAGATGAAAGGATCTGCCAAAGGAGTCCTAGCAGTGCTTCAGATAAGCACAGGACTGCGAATCACAAGGTCAGCAGTTCAAATCCACCAGCCACTCCAAGGGAGAAAGATGAAGCTGTCTACTCCTGTAAAGATTTACAGTCTTGAAAATACTAATTAGGGTTGCTATGAGTCAAAACTGACTCAGCTGCAATGGGTATGATTTTTGTTGAACCTAAGAATAGAACCTAGATCTTTGTCTCCAAGCCCTATGCTCTCTCCTCAAAATGTAATAGACTATAGTCAAGGCACTGGACTGTTGTTGTCAAGGGCTGTACAGTCTGTTCTGACTCATAGCGACCTTGATCTGGATGCCAAGGAGCTACTGGTGGGTTTGAACCAACAACTTTGCAGTTAGCAGTTTAGTGATTATCCTACAGCACCACATAAGGCACTATACTAGGCATACAAAAACCAAACAGGCCATACCCATGAGGAAGAGATAACTCTGCAGATAACGCTATACAAGTGAAACATGGTAAGTGCTCTAACAGGACATGGAAAAGGAAGCAATTAATTCTGACTTGGACCAGAAATGTTCACAAGTATAAGTACCAGATTTCAACCTGGACAGACAAGAGAAAAATTATAGCAAGTTACAGAAAAATTATCATCACAGTAAGGACTAAAAATGTTCAGACAATTGTTTGGGTGGTAGTATTGGAAGAGCAATACTGAGAAATGATGCCAGGAAGGTGAGGTGGTGACAAATAATGAAATGTCATAAAGGCCATGCAGAGAAACAGGAAGTTGCTGAAAGTTCTGAATAGAGAAGTGATAAGATCATAGCTTGTTTCAGAAAATGAAACTGGCAGCCCTGTAGAAGGCTTCACTAAGAAGGAGAAGTGTAGTAAGTATATAACAAAAGAGCCCTGGTGGTGCAGTGGTTAAGTAGTTGCTCATCAAAAGGTCAGTGGCTTGAACCCATCAGCCTTGCTCAGTGGAAGACAGAGGTAGTAGTCTGCTTCTGCAGTGATTGTTGTTGGGCTTGTTGCTGTTGTTAAGTGCTATCTAGTAGATTCCCACTCATAGCAACCCTGTATAGGGTTTCCGAGGAGCAGCTGGTAGTGTGAACCTCTGACCCTGCGGTATAAACCAACCTTGTGGTCTAGTTCTTTATCTCAATGTGCCACACCAGGACTCTAATCACAGTGATGCTGTATAGGGTTTCTGAGGAGCAGCTGGTGGGTTTGAACCACCAATGCTAAGGTTCAAATGGACTCTGTGAGTCAGGTGCTTACCCTACAGTGCCACACAATGATTACAGTCTAGAATACCCTATGGGGACAGTTCGACTCTGTCCCACAGGATCACTATGAGTCAGAATCAGCTAGACAACAAGGGTTTAATGGGTTTTTTTTAAGTACATAAGACTGGTGTAACAGCCTAATTTAATTAGAAGCAGTGGCAGCAGATATGTAAATGAGAAGAGTTAAGAGATGGAGTACAGACACAGCATCAATAAAACTTATTAACAAACTAGGGGAAAGGAACAAGATAAAAAAATAGAAACAGTTTTTTCTCTTTCTTGATTCAAAGCTTAATGATTATAAATGAAATGGTTCACAAGAGAAATAGGGTCAGAGGAACTATAATCAGAACCATGTTGAACAAGATATGCAGAGAAGCTGAGCAAACAATGGAAAAGGTAGGTTTCCCATATGGAATCTGGGCTGGCTGTATAACTGAAAGAAATGGCAATGGATGACTTCTGAGTACAGTTCATTAAAAAAGTCTTGTGGCTTCTATTTTTGTCTCATGGAATACTCACAGGAGAAGCCAAGTACCATGCAAGAAGTCCATCTACCCGGAGACTTCCATTCTGTGAGTAATCCAAGCTAACCAATGGAAAGGACACACAGAGAGAAATAGATGCCTGGCCAGTCCTCAGCTAAAGTTTGAAAACAATGATCTAAACTTCTACTTTAGAAAACTGGGAGGGGGGCAAGAGAAAATTTATCACAAAGTGAGAAGGAAAGAAATGATGAAAAGCAGAAATCAATGGCACAGAAAATTCAGCCAACAGAGAAAGTCAATGAAGTCAAAATTGCTTCTTTGAAAAGACTCATCAAGAACAAGTACATTTGACAGCAGTAATCCTGCAGTCCTTTCCGCCCCATTTTTGCCTTTATAATGCAGAAGAAAGATGAGGCTTTCTGCTCCCTCAAACATTTACAGTCTTGGAAATGCTACAGAGTCACTATTAGTTGTATGGGCTCGAAAGCATGAAACAACAGCAATGCAATTAATGAAATTCCATACTCCATTAGTTTACGTGGTACAGTGGCATGTTTTTTCTAGATTTGATCTGACTTCTTACCTTGTTAACTTCTGGTGTAAGGATCTCTATCTTTCTTAAACGTTGGAAAGCATCATAATCAGTTTCTCCAAATAACCTGATTGGTTCTCCTCTTTCTCTCAATCTCCTGATAACCTATAATGAGAAAACAAATCCTCAGTAAATTTTAAAACTTTTGATAGAAGGAAAAATTAAACATAACAAAACAATTTGTGTATAACTTAAAATTGACATTTGGGTTTAATAAGACTAACCTACTGGTCTAAACACAGATGTTTCTGAATGAAATATAAAATCCTTCAAATACTTTGATCATTTCAATTATGCTAAACAACAATTCAGAACAAAATTCTGAATCAAATTCACTGGTTAGAGGGGAGACAAATATTAATTCGGGTGACAGGGATGGCAAAATACAATGAATATGTGAGCATCAGCCACCATGACTTTGAGACCAGAAGACCTAGATGGTGCCCAGCTACTACTATCAACTTCTCTGAAAGGGAGTACATTAGAAGGTCCCAGAAAGAGTGGGATAAAATGTCAGACAAAAATTATAAAAAAGAGCAGTCTTACTGGTCAGAAAGAAACTGGAGGAACCTAAGACTATGGCCCCTGACCACCCTTCAAGTCTAGAAAGGAACTCACCCCCACAGTCCAATTTTCAGTCAAGCAGTAGATAGCTATATGGGGTGTGGTATAGTGAATCATCTAATGTTCCTTCTAGCCGTAGTCTGTAACTCCACCAAACAACATTTCTGCTCTACTGATAGGACAACATGATTCAGCTGTGAATGTTAGCAGAGTTCTTCAACTTGTAAAATCTTGAAACTCTGGGTTTAAAACAAGTCATCTCAGAAACATAAGGGGGGATCTCATTACTGTTAAAGTAGAGCCAGGTGAAGTATGTCCTTTGGACCCTGAGATCCCTGCACATTGAACTTCCTTAACCTGGGACAGAAAGTTGTGACACCAGAGAAATAGCAGAGGAGGAGCAGTAGCAGCACAGTGAAGAACCAAATCACAAGACAGAGTACTGGGCTTACCAGCTCATGGCACAAGTAAAGTTGAGTAACTTTGAGCGGGAAGTATGCCTGTAAAATGGGGTGCCTTCAGGCATTTAAGTACGGGAGCTGACTGTGAGGTTTGCTGGACCACGGAGCTAGACTTGAGTGCCTTCAGGCTGAGGCTTATAGTGAAGTGGTGTGTGCTACAGTCATTTATCAGCAACTGACTGGGACAACTGTGCCCTGAGCACTTCTGACCATAAGTTGTAACCTGTAGTGGTAGTGGTGGTTATGGGCCGCAGACACGGTTCCGACTCATGGTGACCCTGTACAGGGTTTCTGAGGCTGTAAATCTTTACGGGAGCAGAAATCCTCCTCTTTCTCCTGCAAAACACCTGATAACCTGTTAGCCTTCTTAATAAATGCCATAACTGTTACTATGGTGTCTCAGTTCTGTGTGGTCACTGCTACAGATTATCGAACCCAATAGAGAAGTAGAATCTGTGGGAAGAATAGTTGGCACAGCCACGGTTTTTTGCACACTAGGAAGGTATGCTCACCAAGGAACAGTCAATTCAAGATCAAAACAGTAATATTTACCTAAGGACCAAGTGGAGACAGGATGTGAAGGCACGTGGAATGGAAATAGCAACCATAGGGAGAAAGTGAGAAAATTGCTATTATATGTAATCATTGATATGAAAGAAAGTGTATGGTTTGTTAAATGTAACAATCATCTTCTCTGTAAATTCATCACTCAATTCACAATAAAAGTTAAAATAACTAAAGGTTTCTGAATCAAAGTGAAAAAATCTATTTTGAGTCAAATGTCATAGTTATGAATTTTATTACTGAATAACTCCTAGAAAGTTGTCTGAAAATCTACAATTCATATCTAAAGCAAGCCCCTAACTTAAAGCATCCCTCATATCTAAGACATTCCAAAAAGATGTAACATCCGGAGAACAAACAAGATGGCAGATCGGGTAGACATGCAGTAAAGAGTTCCGCCAACAACAACATAGAATACCCGAGCAAGCAGGCTCTGAACCACATATAAAGGAACATTTAGAAGGTTGGTAGGCTCACAGCTGGGGGAATTTGTGGCAGAAGCAAGAAATCCATTGCTTTCTAGTCCGGGACGCTCGGCTGCTCCAGGAGCCGCCATGATGGGTGAGACCAAGTGAGGGGAAGGACTGAAGCGGCCACAGACGCCTGGCACAACCGCTAAGATAAAGGTGTGGACATTCTTTTCTTTTGGTATCTGTTCATTGGTCCCTTGCTATCTGCGCACCTCCATTGTAGTGAATATAGGGGTGCCTGAGCTAGTGGGCACCCAGCCCCGCCCATGGAGGGTTCTACTACGCATGCGCACAGATCTCCTTGAAATTTAAAGAGACAGTTTCCAATTAAAACTAAACAGCCACAGCCAGCCTTGAACTGTTCCCAACTAGAAAAAAGGCCTGAATGGGGATTGTGGAGTGGGAC